AAATTAGCCCCCCAAATAAGATGTAAAGGACATTTCTACGCTCACAGATTCTGCGGCCAGGCGTTTGGACCACGCGAGTTGCCCGGACCCAGCCCCACAGCCCTCCCTGTTCTCCAGGAGCCCGGCCGGCCGCCCCTCCCATGTGACCTGGCCCTCAGCCCTGGGCTGGGCGGGGCCTCTACGGTGGACTCCCGATCTCAGTCCTAGGTGTAATGACTCCTCCTATCTGCTATTTCTATAGTCTTTAGAGTTTTTTTCTTTTTAACCAATCCTTTATTACTCCAATCTCCTGTTTCAGTTAATACTTCATATCAAAATCTGTCCGTTCAAATTAGCATGTGGTTTTTCATACAATTGTCCAACATTCAATCCCTTCCTCCTGGTACCAGCTATTTCTAGAAGAAAGGTATTGGTACTGTGCCAAATTGTAGCTTCGTCAACATGTGCCAAGCGAGCTGTTTTCCAACGGGACGACTCATCCGCTTGGCGTCACCCTACACAATGAGCTCCTAAAGATACCGCAGACCTGACGCTGACGTCAAATGCATGTGAGAATTCTACACAGCTGATCGCTGGTTCCGAGTCCCAAATTGGAATCGTGAGCTTCCTCACAGAAGGGGTTCCAACTAACTTGGCAAATGAGTCCTCACATGTTCCCTCCCATCACTTGTTTAAAAAAGCTCAAGTAATTTTTCATCGTCTCGGATTGCTGTGTGGAAGGTCGCCTGTGAGAGAAACAATGGACAAAAATCAAGTGGAATGTTTCCTAAGGCAGGGGAGAAAGAACAAAGTATGAAAAAGGACAAGAAGTTCCACTGCTGGAAAAAACAGATGGAGATTCCTGATCAAGAAGCCGCGTTTTTAGGAAAGTGGGCTGTGCTGTTTTATTTTTAAGATGCGATGGAATGACACGCACTTCCCAGCACGCATTCTACATACCAACCTCTCCCCTGGTTTATTTTTTCTACGCCCAATTGCCCTTTGCCCCACTTTCCTTAACTCTGTTTTTTTTTTTTTTTTTTAAATTACTGTACTGCATATTTTCCTAAGATGTTGGAAATGTTGTGTGTTTGATACCATGTGAAGTGTAAGTCAAAATGCTGTATTTCAATGCAATCATGATAACTTTCCAGATTTGCTGGGACATCATTTTAGGTCTGTGTGCTGGAAATACCTCAAACCCAATTCCTGAATTGAATATAAATCAAGATGTAAATAATTACTCTAGAATATGTCTCTGTGTATACAGCTCCAAGGAGACACGGAGTGCAAACTTCCACTAGGGTTCCAGGCGTTCTCTGTCCACTTGAAATGGCCTGGTTAGGAAATTGCAAAACCCAACTCAGAAACCAGCTCTGGTGCTTAGTCGCTTAGTCACGCGGCCTTTCTTCTTCTGGTCTCATGACACTGTACGCATTCATGCCCATCTGCACCAGTCAAAGGAAGAAAGAATTGATCGGTGGTAGAGGAAATGGAAAATGGAACTAGGTAGTATGATTCTTACAATTTGATACTTAACATCTGCCACAACTTCTGAAGAACTGTCCAAAGATGGAGACATTTTCTCGTGGCTACAGCACTGAGCCCAAAGAAGTCTAGATCCTTAAATCACATAGCCTGGCATGGTTGTCACTTTTGTTTTTAAAGCATGCCTGGGACCGTGAGTCACAGTGCCTTGGGTCCAGACCCTGGCTCTCATGTTGACTGGCCGTGTGGCCGTGGGCAGGCTGGTCACTGAGCCTCTCAAGCCTCGGCCTTCTCATTTCTAAAACGAGAATGATGGCACCTCTCTGGTAAGATAGCGTGAAGAGCCACCTCTTTGTACCCCTTGTGCCAGTGACTGGCACATGATAAGGGCTCTATGAAAGGAGTCATTATTATGAGTAAATAATAGCTGCAACCAATAAAATGTAGTGCGATTCATAAAAGCAGATCTAGGCGTTGCTTGAAACTGCTACTAGTTGCGGCCCAAACATGACGTAACGTCTACCTACCACCTGATTTTTCTTTTGCACCAAATTAAACCCAGCAGTGCAACTGATAAAAATGGGATTGTAAATATATTTTCAAAGTTAACTATAAAACGATAAAATGATAATCTGTCTATAGTCAACCACCTTGGCTGGTGATGATGTCTTTGACCAAAGCCCTCGTGAGAGCATCCAAAAGAATTTTGCCAAGTTGGACACGGCGTTCAGCTCCTTCTGAAAGCTGACAAGTGCTGAGCAGTTGGTGGCCTCGTTATAAATAGTAAGTTGGGGTCCTTCACCCAATGACGTGATTGAATAAGTAACCACATGCCAGACCGACACAGTTATGAAAAGGGTTTTCACTAAGCAACATTCAGTATTTCTTTTAAGTCCAATCTTTTCTAGCACTCACACATTTTTATTTATCCTAATAGAACCAGCAAAGCCAACCAGAGGTCAAAAAATATTTCACAAAGCGAGAAATCAAGTCCACGCGTGGATCCCCAACGCGCGACGGCAGCTCGAGCTGGCCTCCCAACGCCGGCTTCTCTCCTCCCAGCGGCCTGCAGTCAGCTCTTCTGCCTTCGCCCCCTGCTCGGCTGCAGTCGAACCCGCGCAAACGCCATTGCTCAGGAAGAGTATTTGATTAGGGTCCTCTGTGATGTTTTTCACCAGCATTTTATAATTTTCAGCATAGAGATCCTGTATGTGTTTTCTTCAGTGTATACCTACATATTTCATTTTCTTTGGAGTAAATTGTAAGTGATAATATGGCTAAAGGTTTTTTTGTTTTTTAAAGAAATTGAGTTATTCATAATAAAATGCACAGATCTTAGGTGTGTTGACCAGTGGGATTTGGCAATTGTGTGCCCTGCTGTAACCACTGACTGCGGAGGTCATCTGTGCCCCGCCTCGTTTCCAGCACCCCTCGCGCCCCTGAGAGGCGCCCGCGTTAGCGCTGCCCCTCCTCCGTGGTGTGTGCCCCGGGCCTTACCCCAGAGGCGGGAGCACCAACCAGCCGGTGGGTGTCTCGTTCCCCACCGGAGGCCTGAGTGTCGGCGTGCCATCTCCTTCAGAGACATGGGGACCTCTCCTCAGAGCTCCTCGGTCCTGGGAGCCCTACTCTGTCCTCGGTGGTGGCTGCTTCCTAAATTAGTAGTATCTGGTACCTCAAGATCCCCCCTTGGTACTTGGGTTAACTCACCTCTGTTGTAACGCCTGCCATGGCTTTCTTACTGGCCCCGGACGGACACAGTGCTTGGTATCAAGAGTGGGGTTTGTCTACCGCCCTTCGCATAAATGTCTCACTAGAACATCTAAGGCATTTGCTGCTTCCTGATCACGAGGTCCCATGTCAGGGACCAACACGATGTTCTGAGGGGCGTCTACAACCAAGGTCCCTGCAGACTAGATTATGGCAAAAACAGAAAATTTGACCTAGCCAGGATATGCTGATTTTTCTTTTTATTAAAAATTTTATTTTTATTGTAAAGAATTTAATCTTTATTGTATATTTTTTACATCACCTTTTAGTCCCCTTATACCCTCTCCTCCCCAATCCCCGCACTGCTGCCCACGTCCATGAGCCCTTTTTCCCTTCTGCTCCATCCCTCCGGCCCTCACCTCCCCACCCCCGCGGTCAGCCTGCTCTCTGTCTAGGAGTCCGTCCCCATTTTCCTTGTTTGTTCAGTTTGTTCATTAGATTCCACTCGTAAGTGAAATCATATGGTATTTGTCTTTCAAATGCTGATGAAAGAAAACTGGAACTGCTCCAGGTGAGGATCTTATTTTTTTTTACATTACCTTTTTCATGCTGATTTCTTAACAGCCGTGACTTTTCTTCCCAAGTTATTCCATTCAAATTTCACTATGTAAAAACTAGTATCAATTCACTTCAATCAACAATCAACAGGAATGGGATCTGAACATTTAAAAAAAAATCCATTCTCCAGCATCTGCATAATTGAAGTGAAGACATCTATGCACCTATTTTTTTAATTTTTAAAAAACATATTGACTTTAGAGAGAGCAAGAAATATTGTTGTTCCACTTATTGGTGCATTCACTGGTAGTTTCTTGTATGTGTCCGGACTGGGGGATCGAACCCACAACCTTGGGGTACCAGCTCTAACCGACTGAACCACCCGGCCGGGGCACAGTAATCTCTAGCCCTCCACTAGGTGGCAATCGTTACCCCATCCCTCAGCCTCTCATTACAATGGCAGTCAACTGACAGATTCGGGAGCGGCAAGAAGGGACGTCACTGGAGGCTGCAGCCTCCTTCCCGATAAGGGCGCCTGCGGCAGAGGTGTTCCTCTTCTGCGGAGGCGGGGGACTCTCGGGCCCATGCGAGATGTTTTTCTTCTAGTGCAAGTTCAGTTGGTTGGTTTGTGTTTTTGAAAAGTCGGGCTGTCTTTAAATTCTAGGGAATTGGGTTGAATGGAGTCAGGTCACTTTTCTTACCAAGCAAAACCTTATTGAACACTACAGAAATATGGGGAAAACCCACGTGAGACGCGGTCCCTGCACTCTGAGGGCATCCGACCCCAGCGGGGGACGCCCGAGCACGCAGAGGGTGGGCCGAGGCGGCCGGAGGCTCGGTATGGACGCAGGATGGAGCGAGAGGAAGGCGGGGTTTCAGCTGGCTCCAGGATGGGGATGTAGTTTTGGAAGCAGAGAAGACAATTCCAGGCAGAAGAGGAGAGCAAAGGCACGGGGTTAGGAAAGTACAGTGGGTTTCGGGCCCAGCAACTAGACCAGTGTGGTTTGGGTTGAGGGTTCGCACGGTGAATAACAAGATCGGAAAGCCAGGCTGGGTCCGGCCGGAGGCCTCCTGGGAGGGGAGTGTTGGCCGCCAGCCTGAAGGAAAAACGGGAACACTCCAGGTTTGTGAACGGGGCTCAGAGACAGGAGGCCAGTGAACACGCAGAGATGCGCAGTGCAGTCAGGATGCGGGGTGGGGGAGCGGAGGGCCGGAGCTAGGACGGGGCTGCTGAGCAGCTGTACAAAGAAGTCAGCGGACAGGAGACGGAGGGACAGGAATCCCGCCTTTATATAACACATCTATGGTTACAAAAGCCTTTTTGTTTACAGTCTCACTTCACCCTCACACCAGCTTGTCAAGTAGAACATTTGTCACGTTTTGCAAGGAAGGAACTGTGGCTCAGAAGCAATGCTATCGCCTTGGGCCACACTTCCTTCGCTGGCTGGGGGGGACTGCCTTCTCTATCCCCCTGCCCCCATTATTCCTTCTCAGGAGAGGCTCTTGCTCCCTTATTTCCCTGTGGGCCTCTCCGCTCCTGCTGCACCCTCTTCAGCCAACCTCACCCCCCACCCCATGACTTTGGCCACCACACAGACGCTGACATCTGCTCTTTCTCCTTTGTAGACCCCAGGTCTTCTCGTGAGCACCTGATGCATATACTCACGCTCCTGCCTGAGGTCCCAAGTTCCCCAGCCTGTCTCAAACGCGGGGCACTGCTGGCAGCCGCTAGCCTGGCGACAGAGCCGGCAGGGGCTGCTGAGAGGGAGGGGCCCCGTGCCGCAGAGGGACCGGACTAGCAGAGCCACCGGGGCGCAGGGTACGAGGATCCCACACACTCAGCGTTATTTTTCAATACAGTGATTTTTGATTCCTGTTTAAAAGTTTTTTATCCATGGTCTTCAGGTTGCTTCCAATTTCTCCTTTGGAAACCAGAGATGTTTAAAAGGTAAACGTGAATGACGCTCACAAGAATCCTGCACGGTAGACAAGCCACACATTGCTAGTTGAACTTCACGACTCGCTCACCCACGGGCCGGTTCAGTCATTTATCGAGCACGTCTCGTGTGCCAGGCATGGCGCGAGGCTGCGTGGAACGACGACTGAGAGCAAGTCCCTCCAGGAGCTCACAGTCACACGGTGGACTACTGAGTGAACCGAGGCACAGAGCGGTGCGGGGCTGACCCCGTGAGGTAGAATTAGCCAGGTACTTGGCAATGGGGGACCAGAGCTGGCCAGAGGACAGGGCGCAGGCAACGCCCAGGTAAACCCCTCTGCTGAAGAGCAAGGCTACACACAGAAACACGGCATAAAGCCTGCGGGCAACAGTAAAGTGGTTTCCAATTGTCACTGTAGCTGAACTTGTGCCTTACGCTCAGTGAGGCCTCTATGTGATGGCGTTTCTATACTTGTCCCTGAAGGCTTGGGGCAATGCCACCAGTCTGCTCAGACACGGTAACGGTAAGTAGCTTGAAATCCAATTCTAGCACTGGGAATCTTACTGAAATTCTTTCATTAAATGCATGAACTTAAAAGTGTATAGCCTATTTATGATACTTCTACATGTAGAAGTTTGGAAAAACTCTCCTCTAACCCTCATTCAGAGGATTCTAATAAGTTACAGATACCACAGAAATTAGAGCATTTGTCTGTTAATTTCCATATACACATTATTTTGGCTATACAATGGTGAAAAGATTCACTTAGGCGCACATAAGTAATCCGAACATTATACAGATATGTACAAAGACAGCACACTTAGGTGCGTGTGCACACCCATCCAATGAACAGCAGCTAACTGCAGACGTGGACTCGTGTAAGGCAACGGCTTTTGTGATGACCACACGTGATCCTTGAAGGAAGGGGCAGGGCCCAGGAAGGACTCTCCGTCCCAGGCCCGGCTGTCCGTTTAATGATCTTCAGGGTGAAGTGACTTCAGCAGGCAGGATGTCTGTTTCACTGACAAAAAGCAGTGAATTATGAAAAGACTTTTCTTCGAATGCGGAACGACAGCCGTCCGTAGTAACCCAGGACCCCAGGCAGCGAGCTACTCCAGGACACCGTTGGCCGTGACGCTGCCACTGCCGGCGAGCGAGGGGACTCAGGCGGCATGTACTGCTCTGAGAATCAAACTGGACGCCAGGCCACCCCCAGGGAGCTCCAGAACGCCCAGTGCGCGCCGTCTCGGACCCTGTCATCAGTCGCTCACCTCAAGCAGCTCTTCACTTGGCTGTGGAGGAGCTTCTTCTGAAAAACAACAAAAACGAAAGAAAGTCTTCTAAGTGAGGGTTTAAAAGGCAACCAGGTAATAGAACATACAACTGCTTAAAAAAAAAAAAGGAAGAACCCTGGTTGAGAGCCATATCCTACGTTACTGGCATAAGGCTACTGCTTTGAGTCACAAGAACAAACAGGACTCAGACGTGCACCCGAGAGAGCACCTGCCAGAGAGCAGACAGTCCCCGCCACAGCGCCCGCCCCCAGCGGGTGCCGCATCGGCACCAGCCACGACTCCACGCTTCTGTTCTTATCAGAACAGCGTGGAATTTCACCATAAAGTTGTTACAAATATTCTAAACTATGTTAAGAATCACCTTGTCGTTTTAAGAGCCATGTTTTTGTAGTTAGGAAGAGTAAAACTATCTAAAAGGTCATAGCATATAATTTATATAACTATTATATATTCAGGTCCTTTGCCCATTTCTTAATTGGAATTTTTCTTTTTGGTGTTGAGTTGGAGAACTTCTTTAAAAATTTTGGATATTAACTCCTTATCATTGGCAAGTATGTTCTCCTATTCAGTGGATTTCCTCCTTTTTATTTTGTTGATTTATTTTGCTTTGCAAAAACTAAGTTTGACATAGTCCCATTGTTTTTCTTTTATTTCCCTTGCCTGAGGAGATGTATCAGAAACAATGTTGCTACCAGAAATGTCCTAGATTTTACTATCTATGTTTTTTTCTAGGATTTGTGTGGCTTCAAGTGTAACATTCAAGTCTTTAATACACTTGAGTTTATTCTTGGGTATGGTGTAAGAAGGTGTTTTTTGTTTTTTGTTTTTTTTTTGCACGTATCTGGCCAGTTTCCCCCAATATCATTTGTTGGATAGACTGCCTCTACCTCACTGTAAGCTCTTGCCTCCTCTGCCAAATACTAACTGACCACACAGGCGTGGGATATCTCTGGGCTCTCTATCCGGTCCCACTGATCTGCAGGCCCATTTTTATGCCTGTGCCCTGCTGTTTCCATCACGGTGGCCTTGGAGCAGAATTGGGTATCAGGCAGCGCGAGCCCTCCAACTCTGCTGTTCTCTCTGGAAACTGCTGTGACTATGAAGGGCCTTTTGTGGTTCCCTGTGAATTTCTGGAATACCTACTTTAGTTCTGTGAAATATGCCACTGGTATCTTGATAGGAATTGCGTTGAATCTATAGATTTCTTCGGGTAGTTTGGACATTTTAATGATGTTGATTCTTCCCATCCATAAAATGGGGTATCTGCGTCCACTTATTTGCACCTTCTTCAATTTCTTTCTTCAGAAACCTATATAATTTTATTAATCGTCTCCCCAATAATTTTTTTAAAATTATAAAATTTAAAAATCACTAGGATCTTTAATTTTCCCAGATCACATAATCGGTGTGTTTACCTTTAGCAGGGTTTTCTGGGTGTTTGCTCTTCGATGACGAGCTCCCTGCACCTTCAGACCCTTTGCCGCTGGGGCGACGCGGCTCTACTTCGCACAGGTAGACGTCGATGGGCCCTTTGGTGCTCCGGATGTGCACTGTGATAGAGTCCTGGCAAAAGACACGTCAACATCAGAAGGCCAGAAGTCACTAAATATACAATTTTCACTTACGAGAACTGCAAAAATTTCAAGGGACATTTCTGAAGATTTAAATTCAGACAGTTTGCTTTCTGTCACATATGTGAAGAAGTTGCGCACTAAGCTGCAGCCATGCTTAATGTAGCCACCGCATCACGGACCAGGGTCTGCAGAGCCTCGATGGGAGGGCCCGAGCACCCCAGCGCTCGTCTGCCTCTGCTCGGGGCAGTACTGGCCCCTTCAGGGTATCTGTACGTGAGAGTCAAAAATCAGGGTTTTAATGACAAAGAACCTGAAAATCCCCTGCAGTCTCAAATGATAAAGCTGTCTTTGGATTTCCAGACCCCGAAAGAGCTAACAGAAAGGACCATTCTTTGTCCGCTTGAAAAAGAGGATGAGATCAAGACAAAATAATATCTCATGTAATTTAAAATGCTAAAATCCATGAGCCATCAGGAAACTGGGAGCTTCTACTGAGAATTACGCTAAACTCTTAAGAACAGTTCCAGTTACACGCGATTCCTTTGCTGTTCTGACTGGCAGTGGGTCTGACTGCAGGTCCGTCCCCGCCGTGGGGCAGGTGGGCCTGAGCCGGGCCCCACGGACGGCGCCGCTGCGGGCCGCACGCCTTGCTGTGGCCTCGGACAGCGCAGGGAGACGTGGCCCTGCAGTGGCCTCACGGGCCATCCCCTGCGCTCCCTAGTACCAGATCGCTGGGCTGGAGAACAGCGCACGCGGCTCCCAGGTGCCGGCCAGGTGCACTGCACAACAGGTATTTCTAAGCAAAAAAGCAGTGGATATGCTGCTCAGACTGGCAGCCAGCTGAGGACGTCACATCTGATAAAAACTGGGGCTGGAAAACAGTCCCGTAAAGGGGAGGCAGGAAATACTTCTGGCTTTGGGGGCCATCCCATCCGTCACAACCACACAACTCTGCCAGCAGAGAGGAGCAGCCAGAGCCAAGAGCTACACACACAGGCACGCAGCTGTGTCCCAGTGGAACTGTGTACAGAGACCCGGCAGGCTGGACCTGACCTGGAGGCCAGGGCCCGCCCCCGCCCCGGGCCCCGGCCCTCCCTGCAGACCCGGCAGCTGGGCGCCACGGGGCCCACGTGCTCCTGTCCGGCACGTGTGTGCTTTCGCCATTGCTGAGCAGGGCGACCTGGAGGGCCCACAGGCACTGGCTTGTAAACGGGACTCTGAAAAATCTTGGGCGTGACCAAAAGGCTCAGCAAGACGTGGCCTTTCAGTCTGAAGCAGCTCCCAGCACAAGGGAAAAACTCCAGATCCACAGGCCACTGTGGCACGGACTATCGTGCCCTGAAGTGAGGATGTGTCAAAACACTGGTGGCTAATTAAAAAGGGGGTGGGGCATTAAAAACCTGTGAAATGACTCCAATTAAATACAAATGTTACTCAGGATACTCGGAATATCTATAAATCCAAACCAACTAGGTAACACCCCCCAAGAAGCCACGACCGTGAGTGCGTGACTGGAGCGGCAGCAGGTGGCCCTCGGTGTAGGAGACGCTGCCCAGCAGGTGGCCGGTGGCCGCCCTCAGCGTGCCCTGCCTGAGGGACGGAGGGCGGTGGGAAGACCCCCCGCTGTGAGGAAAGCCCCTACGGCAATGACGACACCACAGGAGCACCTTCGGATCCCCGAGGCTGCCAAACTGCGGGCCGGCCCCTGGAACGGCCACAGTCCTCGGCCCTGGATCATCCCTACCGAGCGAGCCTCCGATGACAATTGTCTCCGAGGACAACTGTCTTTTAACATAAACTCTCCTTCAAGGGAAGGCATGTGTTAAGGAGCTGGCAGTTTGATAACAACATTTTCATTTACGGAGCAGTTTTACTTTTCATCTCCAATGTCCGCCTTAGCGCCCCAGTGAATCCGCCAGTCCCTCCCGAGCTTGGCTGGCGAGTTAACTCTGCAGAGCCTGGGCTGACACCAGACCCTCCTCAGGAACCCCGAGGCCGAGGCCCCGGCCTGCGGACCCCCCCCAGAGGCGGTTTGTCACAGGGCAAGCACCCGCTCGCAAGCCAGGCCATCTGGGGTGGAATCTGGTCCCGCTGCTTCCTGTGTGACCACAAGGAAGGCGACTCGTCTTCCTACACCTCAGGTCCCTCATCGCTAAGAGGCGCCCAGCACGACCACCTCGGTCGCCATGGTCCTGAAAACAAGGGGAAGCGTGCGCAGCGGCCTCGAGCGGCACCGGCCATGTCGCCGGGTGGGCACGTGAGGGTCACGTACCGAGGCTGTGATAACGTGCAGCCTCGGCAGGCAGGCCCCCCCGCCTCTTAATAAAATCTTTAGAATCAGGGCCACCTACTTCTCTGGGCGCTGGAACATCCAGTCTGGTCTCCGCTGGAGCTTTGACTGCAATAACGATCTGCTCGTGGAAGGCCTGGATGCTGTGAATGTCTTGGTACGTCACATACGCTAGTGTGGGGGCCGGTCAAGGAGCTCTAAGCAGGGGTCTGCTTCTCGGAGGAGGCAACTAAGCTCTTGTCAAACAGGAATGCAAGTGCGATGTTAGAAGAGTTTTCATTTTTGCGGGACACAAACAACTGGGGAGGGCAGCTGGTTAAAATATTTTCATACTTAATTCTTATTTTATGAACAATTCTTAAGATTTTGGAGCTTTTCTATATTTATAACTCAATGTAAAGAGTTCCTTTACTGTACTACTGGGACTATGATGACAATTTCTGGAGAAAAATATTAGTAAAGCCTGGATTCCTAACACAAACACAACTCATAAAGATATCGTTGTGATCAACCATGGACCAAAAATATTAAATAAAAAATTCCATAAACGAACAAACAAAAAAAAGATATCAAATCTGCCCATCCCATCCCATTCCCTGCTCACTTCTAAGATCTCACTATGAGCCGCTCTGGGGAAGAATATTCAGTTTTGGTGAGAACCCCCTAAAATGCTAGGTGAAAAAAAACCTGTAAAGAGTAGAAACTTAGAAAATAAGTTTTTCAGGATTATCTCCTACTCATGGGATTCCTCTCATCCAAATTCTTGTCTCACTACCTCAATTTTTGCACCTGTTCATTGTGCTGCCTGAAATTATACCAATTAAGTGTTTATTGGGCTATTCTGAAACCCTGGCTTCAGAGTATTTGTTGGGTGTTAGCAGTGATTCCTTTACCAACACACCTGACTTCTAACATGTTTCCTTCCTCTGCCTACAACCAGTTAACATTCGAGTAACTGATCTCCCTCAATAAAATAATTCACTTTTAATTGTTCCACTCTGACCGAGTGTTGTAACGTCAGCATTTGTCTTCCTTCAATAGCTGCTGGAAGAGGAGTTTCGGCTGAGGTGGAGTCGATGTGAACTGGAAGCGGAGGACAGCTCAGAAGGGGTGACACCCCCCCGGAGGCGCCACAGAGGGAGCGGAGCGGCACCCTGCCCGGGAGCGCCCGCGGATCGGCGGCAGCCCCAGGCTCCCCGCTGACCCCGGGGACACAGGCTCCAGATGACGACTCCACTACCTCAGGCGCTGTGGCCTCACGCAGCAGCGGGAGGGCCACGTCACTGGCCATTCACTCTGTTCCAGAAATAAAATTTAATCGACGCATTTGGGAAGATACGAATCTCGTAAAAGCCAACAACGATTTTACCACCTTCATCATGGCAGCCAGGCTACGAAAATGAGCAAGCGCGCTCCACCGGTCTGCCTGCGGTGCAAACACCAGCCTGGCTACGTTACCGCACTCCTCAGTCACAGCGCGGCATCGGCCCGGGACAACCGCCACCCCAGGAAGCTAAAGGCTACCATGTGCTGTCTGGGTACGTTTGAGGCTACAAGACTAAACTTTCACCTACTCTGACTTCCAAAGGCCTGATTTTGTTTCTTCCATACGTTAGTAAATCCCCAGGATGACTCTACTATTTAAAGTAGCCTGCTTTGGAAGGAGAAAAAATTTTAAAGAGGTATAGAGTTAAAGGATATCTTTCGTTTTCTTTGTTATCTGTTAACTCGAACAACTGCTGAGCACAATCCTTGATTAGCTCGTCCAGAGCCTCTTCCATTGCTGATAAGTCAGAAAGTTCATCCTGCAGCTTCTTCTGCTGGGGCACGGCTCCAAAATTGCTGAGATCAGATCCTCTTTAAAGTATTAAAAAGATCACCATCAGTGACATCTAGGTTACCACAAAAATAACGCAGATCAGGTTACTGGAACGTCCCCGTGGACACAGCAGGTGTTTCCCACAAGGATGGATAAACACCGCTTCAACGTGACCTCCGCCCTCCCGCGACTGAGACTGCCATACAATCCTCCCGGGCATAAACTGGTTTTTGGCCCCATTTCTAGTCCTCTTACACAAGGACTTAAGAAAAACAAACATATCATAAACCTATGGAAATTAACAGTAATGAAAGCTTAATGAAGTTTAATTAAGTAGGGAAAACTTAATGAAGGAGTAGGGAAAGCTTAATGAAATGACCATTGAACTAAGAGTCAATAAATCCCAGTTTAAGCTCCACCTTTACTACGTACTGAATGACTTCTGACAAGTTATAATCTTTTATCCCTTAATTTCTACATATGGAAAATGGAGCATTGGCTAATATCCTCTGCTAATATCCTGAGTCATCAGCCTTCCCTACTGTGCGCATTCCATCTGGTTCTGTCTGGACACAAGGATTACATTCCTAGTTCCTCAACAGTTTATTTTCTTTAGTTATTACTGTTTAACCCAACATATGACATGGCCTGAGTAGTGACATTCATTTTTTTCTTCAATCTTTATGAGCTGTTCCCACTCTCTTTAGCTTGCTTGTGCTCTAACTCCCGTGATTCAGAGTAGAATCGTGCATCAACCCCATAATTGTTTAATGTTATCTAGTAAACACATTCAAGTTAGAATTCCATCTGCATTTCTGTACTACTAAAAAAATACCTCCTTTACAAACCCCTTTTTTCTAATAACTAATGACTGAGAACCATTTTTATAATCTCTGTTGCTAGCTTCCTCACCTGCCAGAGAGGTCTCTATGTACGCACGCACTGGAACTGCATCTTCCTGTACGTCTGGAACCATTCCAAACATGCCTGCCTGTTTTAAGTGTCGCAGCTTTCTTCTCGTGTGCACACATACACACACACACCCCCTCCCCCGCTACGCATAAGGCCCTTCTTCCAGGTGATACTTCCTAATCACATGTGAAGTCTTTAGCAACTGCCTTTTGGACATGAAGTCTAGGATTTTCTCCCATTTGGGGCCACGAGTTTCCGAGCGTGACCGACAGCTGATCTGCATCACCTTACACGGGAGGTGGGCAGAGCCCTGCGGGCCTGCAGGCCGTGGGCCGGAGGCCTGTGCTCTCAACACTGGTACACAAGCAAGAACCGCTGTCTTACCGCCTTAACTGACTTCCCCCCATACCAATAATGAATTGGAACCGAAGAAATACTTTGAAAAGTGAGTATCTTAAAATCAATCATATTCCATTTAACTTATCCATAATATCCTACTGCCTATGACTCTTAAGTAGGAAAAATATTTATGGACTTTGTAAGACAATGTAAAAAAATTGTACAGAATCCTTTTCTAACGAGAAGTCACACCTCACCGTGCTTCCCACTGTTCAAACGCCGCTGACGTCCAGCATGTGTTCAGCATGGCACTGTCACTTACTGAGGGGAAAAGAGCCATGAAAAGTTTGAGGCCAACTCACATCCATCGAATGTGGTTCTTAGACTTTTTTTCCACCAGGTCGATCCCATCCAAGACATTGGTGATGTCGTACACTCTCCGTTTCCGTACTCCCAGTTTTGTTGCGACCTTGTTTAAGTCGAGGATGCCCCCAGGAGCATTTCTGACAAGATCCATGAATTTCCGAGTTAAATATACCAGGGACACGTCAAAACGCGGTCTCTTCACTTTTAGAGTTTCTGGGAAACAAAACAAACCCATTTGTAAAACTTTAAATAGCAGTTCTTTCTCAGCTCATTAAAACACACCATTTATTTCCTCTTGATCAGTAAATCCAGACACCTATAGAAATCCAATACCCTGACCAAATATCACTGCTATTTTTATGAAATAGATTTTTCAAACTTGATAAAAATTAGCCTATTCCAGGTAAACAAAGGCTTTAGACTTAACGGAATATTCAGAACACGCAATCCACGTGAATTTTTAAAAAGATTGTATTTATATATTTTTAGAGAGACGGGAAGAGAGGGAGAGAAACATCAACTGATTGCCTCTTGCACACCCCCCACTGAGGACCTGGCCTGCAACCCAGGCATGTGCCATGCCTGGGAACTGAACCAGCGACCTTTCGGCCTGCAGGACAGCGCCCTATCCATTGAGCAACACCAGCCAGGGTGAGACCCATGTGAATTTTTAGAGGCCTGCTGCACCTTATCAGACAAAGTGGTGAATTTGCATTTGTATCCACAAAACTTAAGGAATGAAATTAGATTTTTAAAATTAATTTTCTCATTTGGTCTTCACGTTAAGCAGTTCTCTATAAAAGCAAAGGCAGAGACTTTACCTTGTTTGTTTCAAATGTTTCTACACATGTAATAGTGTAACCCTGTCTGATGAACTTTTTGCAAGAGCTCTAATTAGACTTCTATTAGGGCAATTAGGATATACCTCAAGGGAAAGCACCATATCTATTCTACCCAATATTCACTACCCTCTACTAACAGGTAAGCAAATGAAGGGGAAAAATCTCTTCAATTCCCTCACTCATCCACCTAATGTTTTTGACTTTTTATACCCAATCTGCTTCTCCACACACATACATACATGTGTGTTTCAATATGTATAGTTTCTAAGAATACAGGAACATAACTATTTTTCAACATGCTATTTTTAACTTGACACTGGGACTATCCCAGCTTGTCAACAAATGCGTTTCTTCTAGAAGGTAAAGTGAGGCTGGCGGCTGTGGTCGCCGCCACAACAGACCTAAACAGAGGGTGCTGAGAGCAGATCCAAAGGGCTCTCACGAGCAGCAGTTTCTTTTGCTTCCGCCTGTGTGAGATGGTGGGTGTTAACTAAACCTACTGCGGTTATCATTTCACAGTCGAGGTCTATCAAACCCTCACGCTGTCCACCTTAAATTATACAGGGATGTATGTAGCTATTTCCCAATAAAACTGGAAAAAGGCATTTCCTGTTAATGACTACATAATATTTAGCATTATCCTTCTTAATGGCTGTATCATATTTAACTGCACAGAATATCTGCTTACTTACCCCAATACTGGAAATTCGGATTGCCTCCAACTTTATGATTTTGCACAACACTTCAATCTCCCTATAGGCAGATTTCTATATAAACCTGTGATGCTTTCCTTTAGCTAAGTTACCGAACGTGGAGCTGCCAAGCCAAGGGGCCCCCAAGGCGGAGCTGGGCTGTGCGGCTCACCCTGCTCCCCGGCTGCGCCGTCTGCAACTGCAGGCAGCGTCTGACGCCCTGCCAGGGCTGAGTGTGACTGCTCTTTGCCTTTTTCCCAGTTTGATACTAAAAAAAGTTCTTATCGTTTGATGTGCAGAGGAAACAGATTTACAAATAATGTAGCTGTCCTTCTAGAGTGGAGGATGGGATCTTTCTTTTTCTCTACTTCCACAGCATAACATATGTCAAAAGAAATACTCATACTATCTTTAATCAGAACAGCCCTTATCTAGAATCGCTGCAACGTCACATTCAGTTTAAAAACCCCTGGTGGTTATTCCAAGGACAAAAGTACGTATTTTGTAACGTAAATGTCTGCTTTGTGCAGTTCATGCCTATACTTGACATTAAACAGGATTAAAAAGAAATTAGTTTTTGAAAAATTACAAGTCAGTCACAATTCTACAATAAACCTTGGGAGACTGCAAATGAGTAATTCTAGTTTTAAGAAGCACACATTTAATTACAGTAGATTACTAACAGGGCCAGCTCAGAATTAGTTTCCCGTTATGTTAGTCCTTTTCTAAAGAATAGGTATTAAACACCTATAACATCACAGCTCTTGAAGGGACAGAATGATTAACAAGATCTTCAAACTAAAGGCTTTCAACAGTCTGACAGTTTTTCAAAAGAACTCGACTCTAACAGCCTAAGGTACGTGCTTGGAGAGGGGCTGGAAGTCGCTTAAGATAAAATGAAGCCGTGCCCGGGGAGGGCCCTGGAAGCCCCCTAACGGGGCACCACTGGGAACGGAAGGCCGACTGGAGGGCGCGCGGGGTTGGGGGCAGGGGCAGGGCTGGGGGCCGCAGAGGACGCACACGGGAAAGGAGCGGGACAGGACAGGGCGTGGCTGGGAAGCCCCAGTCACCCCAGCTCCAGCAGAGCGTGGGCTGCAGCGCCAAGAACAGCAGAGAGGACCTCCTGGGGCCCTGTCTGTCTGTCCATTCCCTACTGCCTCGTTTCTTCCAGGATGTGAGGTGGCTTATCAATTTAACACAAACAAGTAAAACCACATCAAAGGGAAGGCAGGGTCTCCTCTGTAGGTAACGGGGCATCACTGAGGAGCGTTCGGCCGAGGGACATCACAGTCCCGTTTCTGCGTCAGAAAAACCTGGGGCAGACGTCCCGCTGCTTCTGTGTGGGAGAGGGAGAACCTGAACTGCAGCCGCCTGGCACCATGGTTAGGAACATGGGCTCAAGTCAGAAAGGCGCAAGCAAGCACTGGGCCTCGGTTTACTCATCTTTGAAATAGGAACGATTCAAACCTCCATTTTGAAGGGCTGTTGAGAGTCCATGCAAAGAGCCTGAAACTGGCCAGACATGGTACGAGCTCAGGAACTGCTTGACATTATGCTGAGTTGGTGGCACGGGATCGGGGGTGAGGGTGGGGGCACTTCAAAGGTCAAACTTGGGGACCGACCGACCATGGGTGAGACAATGACAAGGACTGAGGACAAACTGAGGCTTGATGTATTTTCTATATGGGCACATATGTACTGTGTACCCAATGGGACCAGGACCAAATTAAGGGGGGAGAGGGGGTGGAGCGATCCACCACTACGATTTCCAGAAGGACAGGGAGCTGGAGCGACTGGCCTTCTGCCCCCTTCGGCTGGCTCTGGACACTGGCCCACAACGGGAGTCCAAGGGAGGGCAAAGGCGTCAGAGAGACCGGGGTGCTTCTTGTGCTGCGGCTCAGGTGTGCAGAGAGCGGCTCGGGGCGGCCCTCACAGAGCCTCGGGGAAATGCGAGACGGTGACGCTCGGCGCACCTCCTCCAGCCCGCAACCCTGGGAAGCTCCAAGCTGTGCATTTTGGTGTGCAAATAATATTACTGAAGTCTCTCTTCAACTCATGCACATTTAAAATAAGGCATTTAAATCAGAGGAAGTTCAGGCTATTGGGTTGGCCAAAAGGTTAGTTTAGTTTTTTCTGTACGAAGGCTCTAGTAGCATTTAGTTGTCTTTAACCTCATTCAAAACAGTTCTGTTCGATTGTATTGTGGCAGCTGTCATATCAGTGTGCATTTAAAAAAACTTAACAAAATTGGTGAGGTTTTGCGTAGCCATTTTAATATTGAAGATGGAAGAAAATATGCAACATTTTCAGCGTATTATGCTTTATTATTTCAAGAAAGGTAAAAATGCGAATAAAATGCAAAAAAAGATTTGTGCAGTGTATGGGGAAGGTGCTATGGCCGATTAAATGCGTCAAAAGTGGTTCGGAAAGTTTCTTGGTACTGTTGACATTTTGGCCAAAGAACCCTTGGCTGTGGGCTGTCTCACGCATGGGAAGGTGTTAAGCAACACCCCCGGCTTCTCCCCGCTAGAGGCCATTAGTGGGAGGTGGCAGACATACTCGAAATATACAAATCAATAAAGTTATTGGGGAAAAAGAAGTGTGTCTTTTATTTTATGGAAGAAATGATATGGACTTTTTTGCCAACCCAATACAAAACCTAAAACCTATTCAAGAATCAACTTACTTCTCATGGACACATATTGCACATTATCTTCTAAATTAATCCTTATTTTTGATGGCTGGAAAAAAGAAAAAAACAAACTTAATAACTTATAAACAACAATGCACACAAAGAACATTTTACTGTTTTTATATATACATACACACACTCCCCCCTCAGGGTAATAATTTGGGTGCGAGAAAACCAGTCCTTCTTCCAAATTATAGGCGCTCCGCCTGTGCTCACCTCTGACAGCGTCACAGGTTTAAACTTCTAAAGTAGTTAGAGCGCGTGCGCGGTGAGGGAGAGAAACCACGGCTGTGAGGGGACACGGCTGAGTGAGCATTAATCTGCTGGCTGCAGCAGGTCCTGAGGACAAAAAGACATGCCAGACACTGTCCCTGGCTCTGCAGGACTCAGGGGCGATGTAAGATGCCTGAACGGAAAAATGCTCACCTCTTGCTGTTTAAGTGAAGCGGCCCCCAAAATTTGCTCGCAGCCTTTCGCAGGCAGCCACACCCCCCATGACCGTTAGTGTGAGAAGAGCAGCACTTCGTGGGGTGGGATACAATGCTACACAACTGGGAACTTCGTTACTGAGATTAATAAACGCTTTCTTTCAACTTCTTGAAACAACCTGGAAATTAGTGGTTGCTCCAGTATCAATGCTTCACCATTTTATCAGCTATTTAGAGGGAATGAGAATTTACATAATCCGGTAGTAACATTTACAATACATTTAGAAATTGTTTTTGTAAAAAATAAAACTCTCAGTCCTGGCCAGTGCGGCTCCATTGGCAGGGCATCGTCCCGCAAACAGCAAGACTGCAGGTCCGATTCCTGGTCAGGGCACTCGCCTGGGTGGGGACTTCAGTCCCGGTCCGGACGTGTACAAAAGGCAAGCAACTGATGTTTCTCTCCCTCTGTCTCCTCCCTTCCCCTATAAAATCAATGCTCAGGGGCGTTCCCTTACACAACCACAATACAGTTACCAACAGGTCTGTTCGAGACTAAGCAATCTCAAAAAAGACTGTCAGGACTCGGGCTTCTGGTCAAGACAGAGGTGTCCGTAAACTCGCCTCTACAGCCAAACATACAACTAGACTACAAAACAAATTTCACCCAACTGTCGGAAAGCCGAGCTGTGTGGAAGTCCTGCAACCGAGGAGTTAAAGAAACCGCATCCATCCGGAGATGCGGAGACGCGGAGACAGGAGCGCGCAGTCCCGCATCCACGCGTGGAGGATGAAAAATGGGAGGGGCACCCTGGAGCGAGGGAGCCCACCCCCAGTCCAGACCATAGAGCCCAGGGTCCCCGCACCAGGAAGGTAAGTCCCACTACCTTCTGGCTGTAAAACCCATGGGGGCTGGAGCACTGGAAGAAACTGCATCCTCTTAAGGTACCTGCAACGGACTTAGGACTCACACAGACCCACGCCCTCTGGGATTCAGCACCAGGGCCACTGCTGGAAGGGCCCCACTGCCACATAGGGGGAGAGTGAAGTGAGTGGGGCGACAGCTTCCTCCCAGGCAAAACTCCAGAGGCCTGGCAGCAGCACTGTCCCCTCTGTGAGCCCTCCCCCACGCAGAGCCACAGAGCGGGGACACGGGTTGCCCCCCTGGCCATCACCTAAGGTTCTGCCCATACAACTTACAGGTGCGCTAAGAGAGGGAGTCAAAGCAGCTCTACCTAATACACAGCAACAAGCCCAGGGAAGCTGCCAAAATGAGGAGACAAAAAAAACATGCTCCAAATGAAAGCACAGATCAGAACTCCAGAAAAAGAACTAAACCAAACCATCAGACGCAGAACTCAAAACACCGGATACCAGGATGCTCCAGGAACTCACTGGGTACTACAACAGCATAAAAAAGACCCAGGTAGAAATGAAGGTTGCATTAAGTGACATAAAGAAAAACCTACAGGGAACCAGCTGTGGCGTGGATAAAGGCGAGAATCAAATCAATGATTTGGAACACAAGGACGGAAAAAGCATTCAATCAGAACAGCAGGAAGAAAACAGAATTCAGAAAAACAAGGACAGGCTTAGGAACCTCTGGGATATCTTTAAATGTACAAACATCCAAATCATAGGGGTGCCAGAAGGAGAGGAGGAAGAGCAAGAAAATAGAAAACTTATTTGAAAAAATAATGAAAGGAAACTTCCCTAATCTGGTGAAGGAAATAGGCATACAAATCCAGGAAGCACAGAGTCCCAAACAAGATGGACCCAAAGAGGACCACACCAAGACAAATCATAATTAAAATGCTGAAGGTTAAAGATAGAGAATCTTAAAAAGCAGCAAAAAGAGAAAAGAAAAGCAGACAATTAATTACCTACAAAGGAGTCCCCAAAAGACTGTCAACTGATTTCTCAAAAGAAACTTTGCAGGCTAGAGGGGACGGGCAAGAAGTATTCAAAGTGATGAAAAGCCGGCAAAGCCATCATTTAGAATTGAAGGGCAGACAAAGTGCTTCGCAGACAAGGTAAAGCTAAAGGTGTTCATCATCACCAAGCCATTTTATATGAAATGCTGAAGAGAATTATATAAGAAAAAGGTCAAAATGATGAACATTAAAATGGCAATAAAGTCACAACTATCAATAATTGAATCCAAATAACACACTAAGCAAACAAACAAAACGGGAACAGAATCACAGGTATGGAAATCATCTGGAGGGGCACCAGCTGGGAGGGGCAGGGGAGACGGGGTAGAGGTGCAGGGATTAAGCAGCGAAACTGGGAGGGACAAAGAGACGGGGAGGTGAAGAACAGCACAGGAAATGGAGAAGCCAAAGAACTTACACGCAGGAGCCATGGACATGAACTGCGGGGGGCCGTCGCTGGAAGGAATGGGGGTGCCAGGTGGACGGGAGCAAAGGAAAAAAAACTGGGACAACTGTAATAGCATAATCAACAAAATATATTTAAAAAAAAGAAACACAAAGAACGACAGACTGTCAGTAGAAACCTGGACTCGGGGACGCTCACGGCAGGCGACGGCGCCAAGGGCACAGCACTCGCCACACGCCGCTGGGGACGGGAAGAAGGGGCCTGGTGGTGCGGCCAGCTGCAGGTCTGCAGGGAGCGTGCGCGGCCTGGGTCGTCTGAGGGGGTGTTCATGCAAAGGGCCAACTGCGGCACCTGGTTTTTCCTCGCAGCAATGGGCGCTGAGGCCGGAGCGGTTGCACAGGAGGAGGCAGGCCTTAGTGGCTGCAAAAACCCCCAGTGTCCCCAGGAGCTAAAGGGAAAGCCTCTGAGAAGCACCAGTCGGGGAGGCGGGCGAGGGCAGGGCGGCGCGACGTTGGTCAGCACTTCGGGAGGTCCCAGCCGGCGCCCCAGAGCACTAGGGTCACACGAAAGGTCCTTGAAAGAGGGTCAGGGTGAGCCCCACAGGCCCCCAGACCTAGGCCCAAGTAGAGAAGCGTTTGCTTCTCTGGAAGGAATCTGCGGGTGCGACTCCCCTCTATGGAGTGGACGGCAACAAGGCTCCGTTTGTGACAGAACCGTATCAGCAAAACACTGCCCACTTGGCCCGAAAAGGATGGAGACAGTGCAAATTAAAACCGGACACCCACAATTCCACTGATCAGAGGAAGCAGGCTGAAAACTGCCCGGCTACAACTGGGTGCTCCCGTTCATGAAAAAGAGGAAGACTGGCGCAGGGGAACCGAGAGCCCCGAGCACAGGACCGGGAGCGTAGAGAAACGTTCCGGGCCGGAGACCCAACAGGGAAATCCCCGGCGGCTGCCAGGCTGGGTTCAGGGCTGCTGGGGACCGCCGCCACGGTGCAACCCCTCCCTCCCGGAGGGGCGGGCATGCGAGGCCGGTCCTGCAAACGCACGCACGCTGCCCACCGGTGCACGGGTCCGACAGCTTGGGATTTCAGCGTCACGGGTCCACGGTCTGCGGGAACTGTGGGAGGCTCTGCACGTAAACTATCCCTGCGGAGCCTGCGCTCTTACTCTTTCTAGAGTACGAAATGGGTTACTTTGAGACTCAAATGGTCCCAGGTGAGGCCAACGGGAGCCCTGTCAAATGGCTCCTGTGCGGGACGCTTATTTTTGACCTCGTCAGCATCTTTAGGAGTCGGTCCTCAGAGGAGGGCTCCCTTGGTTTCCACGGGGCTCACCTGCCCAGGTGCCCCCACAGATGCTGCTGCTTCTCGGCCTGGCAGCCACCGCCGTGGGGGGCACCACCCATGTGTCCACCCTCTAAGAAAGTCTCACGGAGAGGTTCCTCAAAGGTGACTTCCGGAGGGGACGCCAAGGGAGGCGGCAGCAGTCATACCTCAAGACTGGACCCCCTAAGACACCTCCCCTTTCAGTCCTCAAACCGTCCTCCATGTGTTAGGTGTCCTGTGTAGCCTGTGAGCGTCTCAGGTGGGACATGCGGGGAGAAGGCAGAGCCCCCACCCCGCAGCTCACTGAGGGCCCCCCCAGGGCACAGCTCTTGGGGGCCCAGCCCTCCTGACAGGCGAGTCAGCGCGTGCCAAGCGCCTGTATGTACTGCCGCTGAGTCCCCCACTGAAGACCCCGCGTTCTACACTTGAGCCCTCAAAGAAACAAACAAAAAGAAGGTGAGTTTTAGGGGCTAAAATCTTAGGATTGCCTTTAAATGAATTAAAAATTTCTCTATACAGATTTTTTCCTTTGTACTGATTGCCTGTTTTGGGGAATGATATCCCTTTAACAGCCCTTTGAAAATGTATATTTCTCCAAGGTGACTATACTCTCCACTCATTTAAATTTTCCTTATTTTTCAATGTGTAGACTAAGTTCCATCACCAAGAACACTATTTTCTCCCTTCTCAAAATCCAGTTTTCCAGCCATTCACCCGGGGCACATCAAACACTAAGCCAGATATATAACTAATCTTTGCATAACAATACACTTCTATGTATTTAATTATTAAATACTTCCAATCGTCAGCTAATTAAAAAGCACTGAGATAGGTGTTGGAATCACCATTTTATAGGCAGGAAAATAAATGGTCATATAGTCAAATGTTTACCATTTACAGAGTACCTACTTCATTTACTCAATGACTATTTACCAAATCTTTTTGTGAGAGGCACCAAATATGCTGGACATGTAACAATGAAATGGACAGTCAGTACCCCGAGAGACTGAGGAGACACACATTTCAAAAACGGGGCAAGTGAGGTCAGGGGCCTTGAGAGCCCAACAGGTGGTGTGCCAACCCTATGGTGAGTGCTCAGGGAAGGCTTCAAACTAGCAGCCTGTACATCTAGACCCACCATAACAAAGCAAAGCGTGTTAAAAAAAAAAAAAAAAAGCTTTTTTTGGGAAGGGAAATGTGGAGATGTAAGGGCCCCAAAGAATATGGAAATATATAGAAAAGTTGGGGCAAAATCAGAAGCAAAAGAAAACCTGGTTAGGAAAACATTGCAACAATTTGAAAACACAGATGATGGTTAGAAGTGGCAAGTATTGGTGATTAAATTTTAATGAGCATGGGAAGATGGGGGGTCAGTTTGGAAAAGAGAAGCAGCAAGGACGACGCTCAGGATAGGAGCTCCGGCAATACGGTTGGTGTGTTACGGTTTAGCCAGCTAGGAGACAGCAAAGTTGCTGTTTGCTAGCAAGAGGCGAATGAATTCAGTTTTGGATATACGAGTTCCACATCTAAGCAGAGATATGCAGTGGACAGCTGGGGGGGTCTGAGCCGGGTTCATGTACCTGGGAGTGATTACGACACGGTGACTGAAACTAACGGTGGAGAAGAGTATCTAAGACTTCAAGGGCTGTGCGTGTCTTCTGATATTAGTGGCTTTTCCACAGTGAGAGCTCAGGGCTTTTACGACATTCTCAGAGATTAAGACCATCAATACGGATGGTAACAGAAGTCATGAGCGGTGGTGAATGACATCCCACACGAAGAATGGGTGCAGAAGGTAGAAGAGGACCCTGAATGACACCAACAAGTAAGGAATGGGAAGAGCAGCCTGCCAGGGAGCGCAAGAAGGGGCCAGATAAGTAGACGGAGCACCAAAGGTATGTATTATTCAAGAAGCCATTCAGTGGTAAGAGTTTCCAACAAAAGCAAGTGGTCAATCATGTCAAAGCTACAGAGGTGAGGAGTGAAGCATCCGCTGAAACTGACAATGCTGTCGGCAGCCTGGGTTCTAACAGTCTCAGAGCCATGCTGTGAGCAGAGGTCCCCGCGGTGGGCTGAGGTGGTAACGACAAGTGAGCGCGCAGACAGTGACTGCCAACAAAGTTTTTCAAAAAGTTTGGCTGTGCAGGGGAAGAGACACAGCAGGTGGAAAAACATACAGAATTATGGGAGGGATTTTTAGGATGGGGATGAATTTAGGATGCAGGTTAAGCAGTCAAGAATTTATGATGTGGAATCAGACATTGTGAGGTCAAATCCAGGCTTTTCTACATACTGTCTAACCATGGGCAAGCCACTTGATAATTCCAGGTCTATTTTGGCAACTGCAAAACAAGAGGAATCTCTTAGGACTGCCCTTGAGGAATTAAATAAGATAATGTCATTAACTATTTTTGAGCTCTGAGTCCCCATGGGGACTAGGCATACTGACTGGTTATGGGAAGAAACCAATAGAGAAGTTGAAAATATAGGAAGAGATGGAAAATGAGAGATGGACAATTCACCAGCAGCCCTGAGAACCAAGGACAATATATTGTATCTAGTCTAGAGCAACAGAGGAAATTAACCTTTTGCAGGAAGAGAACCCATGCTCCCATTTCTCTCCATCAAACGCGATGCAAGATAATTTGCTGAATGTGGGGTGGGAAACGTGAAGTGTGGACGAGCTTTTCCATGGCCGCAGTTAAGAGGAGGCCGAAGAGAAAAATGAGAGCTTGCAGAGATACACTGACGGTTAGTGGAGGCAGAAAAACGAGATTTCCTAATGCAAAGTTGAGCAATTGTCTCCAGGACTGCTCCGTAGCCCCAAGGTAAAAGCCTAGAAGAATGACAACACTTTTGAGAGCGTGTGCGTAAAGAGGACAAGAGTTTGAGCGAATGACCGGTTTGGAAAAGAGCAGTCCAAGAGCAGAGGAACCGAGAAGCCGCCACGGGCCCACCGCGGGGGAGCCCACGACCCAGAGACACTCAGTCCAGCTTCCCCGCAGAGGGGAAGGGGCAGCTGAGCCCGAGAACCCAACCCGCCCCGGGCCAGGGTCCCGGGCGGTCAGGATTCCGAGACTTACCAGCAGGCCCTCCACGTTGATGGGGTCTCGACACCGGCGGCGCACCGTCTCCTCGGCCGGGTCCACGAGCAGGCTGGGCAGTTTCCGCGCCGGCCGCTGCTGACTCATGCTGCCCAGCCAGCCGCCCCTCGCCCTCGCCCCCTGCGAGCTCTCCCGCCTTCTCCCGGTCGCGTCGGACACCGCCCCCAACACGCCGTTCCCGGAGCCGAGCACGAACAGAGCTCGCGGTCTGGTAGGAGGTGCCCCTGGCTGAAGCGGGTTGCGGACGGACCCGCCACTGCCCAAGGCCCCGAGAGTTATCACGCAGACGGCCGGGGAACGGGGTGACCCACGGCTCTTACGGAGCCACGGCCGCCATCTTCCCGCATGCGCAGTGCACCGCCCCCAGTGCGCATGCCCGCCACTGCGGGCACGCCCCACGCACTAACCCCTCGCGCTGGGGCAGGAGTCCGCGAAACCGCGGGCGGCGGCGTCCACGGAGTGGACGGCGGAGGAAAGGGAAGAGGTGGAGCAGGAATCCAGAGGAAGGGACGGGGTGGGGGGAAATCCAAGCCAAACCAAACAAGAACAATCCAACTAGCCGGGAAACCGCAATAGTTCCTTAGAATTCTTGACACTAAGAACACTGGTATCTCAAAGTTCTGAGCTGGAAGAGACGTTAATTTATTCTTTTTAAAAAATTGTATATATTTACTTTTAAAGAGAGGGGAAGGGAGGAGGAGAAACATCAACGTATGAGACATACATTGATCCGTTGCCTCTCGCACGGCGGGCCCCAACTGGTTACCCAGGCATGTGCTCCGACTGGGAGTGGAACCGGCGACCTTTGAGTTTGCAGGCTGGCGGCGCTCAATCCACTGAGCCACGCCAGCCGGGGCATAGGTGTTCTTTTATTCTGGAGCCTCCTGCACACTGCTCAGGTGCTTGCCCAGGCCTGATGCTTAGAATGTGTTGGTGACCGTTGTGGAATTGTTTATTTATATGCTTCTCTCTTTCCTTATTTCCTTTTTCTTCCTTGCTTCCTTTCTCTTTGACTTGATGAATAAATTATTGATTACCTGTTCTATCAGATACTTCTGTGGGCACAGGAGCTATTTATGTGAAGTCGGCACAGGCTCAATCTCAAATTCCTGGGGAGGAGACATAAACAGAACATGTAAAGCTGGACCCAGAGGTGTGTTTTCAAATCCTGGCTCCTTCTATGATCACAAGATGTTAAGCAATTTCCTTTACTGCTCTGTGCTTCAGTTTTCTCATCTGCTAAATAAGAATAATGACCGTATGTACCTCAAAAGGTCATTGTGAGGATTATATGAGTGAATGAATGTTGATTACTTACAACAGGGACAAGCACACGTTCGAAACAGAAACGCATGGGGCTTAGTAAGTAAGGGATGGAGGGCAGCAATGGAGTCAGGTAATTAGACCGAGGTTCCTGCCTAGCCCAGGCAGGGCAGGGAAAGCTTCTGGAGAAAGTTGCCTCCCCATATGATAAATTTCTTGAGGTCAGAGGCACCCCCTAATCTTTCTATCTCCAGCATGTAGCACAGGACCTGGTAAAATAGATGCTCAGTAAATGTTTGCTAAGTGAGTGACTTGAAATGAAGGATAACCTAGGGGAAGTCTCCAGAAGGTTGGGTTTTGTTGCAGAATGGAGATTTTCCCAGGGCAGTTAAAATAATGCTTTTACCAACCAGAGTCTGGGAGAAGGCAAGCTCTGCAGACTAGGAACGGCTGCTTTTATAAATAAGGTGTTATTTAAGCATTTGCATTCCGCTAAATGTTTTGCATAATTTTTCTCATGTAATTCTTATATCAAAACTGAAAGATGGGTGTGGGTTTCATTTTGTTGTTTGTTTTCTTTCCGGTCCAATTTAAAGATCAGGAAGATTAGCAAGATTACAAAATTACCCAAAGTCCTGGCTAGGAAGTGGTAGCGGCAGGATTTGACACCACAACTGATTGATTAATTTGGTATGTTGGTCCTGGAAAGTGACTAGATTTCCTGCAGCCAGAAATGGAGTCGGGAGAGTAAAATTGGGGTGTGGGTCAGGTTGTGGGTGGCCGTGGACAGTCGGGGCAGTGACAGAGCCCTACAGAAATGTACAATACCTGTGACTTGGCAGGAAGTCCAGTGAGTTCACACTCTGTGAAGCCAACGTCACCTGCTGAGAGCGAGGGTTGACGGTGGAATTGAAGATTTGGGAGACCCAGCAGGCACCCAGTACATACTTATACAACGGTGGTTGTATGGATGGGGGACAGCAGAGGAGACTGACTTGGGAAAACATAAAATTGCGGCGTTGCACTGGGCATTCCCTCTGTGGTCCATGGCTGCCTCCGTGTCTCTAATGTACGTATAAGAGTTGGAGGAAGAAGGGGTGTGCATAAAAGATGGCAGAGGAGAAATGGCGGCTGCAAGGCCTTTCCCCATTACTTTTCTGTGTGCCATAGTCGGAGCCATGGAACATCAGGGCAGGAAGAGATCCTGGGGATCACTCAGTAGAGCGCTCGTTTCACAGGGGCCTGAACTGAGAACAGACAGGGAAGCGACTTGTCTAAGACCAGAAAGGTCTCAGCAGAGCCGGCCTTTTACTTTCCAGATCAGTACACTTTTTAGGGAACTGCAATGAGGACAAAGGCTTGCAGGAGAGGAGCGCTGGAGAGATGGAAGGTGGCTGAAAGGAGGGGCCACGGACAAAAGGAAGAGACAAGCCTGAGCTGGAGCCAGTCCTGCGTCAACCCTAATTCACCCACCACTGGCAAGTCACTTAACCTTTAGGACCCTCAGTTTCTATATTTGCAAACCTGCAAATCTGTTGTGTTAGAGATGATGGACGTCAATTCCCCAGTGTACAATCCATCTTGAATGGGAACAGGAACTTCACAATTTCACAGGGGCTGTTTTCCAATCAAGTCTCAAAGCTTCCTACTCCAGTGACTGAAAGCGGTTGTAAAATGCCATCAGATGGAACAAAGAGCAGTGCCGCTCACTCTTTGTTCCAGGTTTTTGTTCCGAATGTGACTGGCTTTACAGGGAGCTCCCAGGATGCCGCTGGCCCACAGAAGTGGCCATTGGCCTGGGCACAGGGGTTCAGTCTCTCCACTTAGCAACAGAATGACCTCCTGTTTCAGAATGAAACAAAAGAGTTCTCCTGCAGTCAAATGCACCCCCAAGGGCAAATCCCCAGGAAAGCCCCTGGGAAAAGACCTGCGGGAAGGGGGCGCTGCCTCTGTCTGCCTGGGTGAGCTGCAACGGGAAAGCCACGAAGGGCAGGGAGGGGCCGCGCCCGCCGAGGCTTGTCAGCTCCATTTCCAAAAGCGGTTTCAGACTTTCCCTCCTCCGATCCCGTTGAGGGCGACTCCCTCCTCGTCATTGTTCCTGGACCATTGTTACCACTTCCTGACTCATTTCCCTGCCTTTCATCTCTTCACCTATCCCTGTCAAGGGATTCTACACCGTCGCTGTCAAATGAAACAATCCCTCTTTTATTTTGGTAACTGTTGGCCTCTCCTTAGCAGATACATTTGTTTCTGAAGCACAGGTCTGATCGCGTCACTCCTCGGCTTGAAATGTGTCCGGGTACTTTTTTTGTATTGTCGTCCCCTGTACGCTGGCCATTTGCCTGCCTGGCTGCTGCCCTGATCACACGTCTGGGGGGCAGGAGTTGTGTCCCCGCAGTCAGGGGCCCCGTCACCTTACCAGGGGACGTTGGTTACATCCTTCTCCCTGGTCCAGTTACGCGAATCTTCACTCAATCCCTTAAAATCTTCCCTTCACTGCTGCGTCTTCTCACATGTGGTTTTCTTTGTCTCGAACGTTCTTGGATGCCTCCTCTAGAAAGCCCCTCGTGCCAGACGGCCTTCCCCAGGAAGCCCGCTCTGAACCCCAGTGAGGCCAGGCCCCAGTCTCTTCTGCACGGTGTCTGCCCCAATAACATTTTACCATCAAAGGGATTCTTACATTATAACCAAATAGTATTTGGAAAAAAGAATATCTTTACTGTACTGACTTTGCAGTTTAAAGTTTGGAGCAAAATGGGACAACGCAAAATAAAAAGATAACATTTTGTCTTAAATCTTCCAAGTGTACTTTACAACAGATTTTGTTTGGATTCAGCATTATCAAAGTATTGCTAAGTTTAGCAACTTGTATTTTTCCTTCTGCTTGAATTTTAGGCTGCATGATACTCATTTTCTTCGTGTTTTTTGAATATTGTAGGTTTGAAGTAGTTTTATTTTGGAGAAAGTGTTCCCTATGGTCAGCATTGGGAATTCTCAGAAGCTTAGTTGATACGGAATATGCTTAGGAAAACTTGTATGGCAGAGAGTTGATAATTCATCAAACAAATCTGCAGGGTTCATATTTAACTTGTTAGGGATTTTTATCAAAGCAAAACTTCATTGGTAATAATTCCGATGAATCATTTGAATATTTTGTTTTTTCTGTATGTAGGGGCATGATTAAAATTTATTTGAATTGTGTTGAAAAAATAAATACAGTCAGCAAACTTGAAATCTTTTGTAAGGTAGTTAAGCATCATTTACTTAATGAAGAAAGATAAACTACAATATCCTTTCCTAAAAGAAAAGAAAGTGGCTAATATTAGACAATATTAACATTGGTTTCAGATTTATGATTCCCAAATTTTTATTTTATTTTATTTTTCCCATCAACAGTTACCCCTTCTATACCTTTTTTCACCTCCACCCACAAAATTTTAAATATCATTAGACCTTTGAGAAATTTTAGTAATAGAAAATTAAACAAAAATATTTTAATTGACTTTTGAGTAGATATATTGACATAAACAGTGAAAAAACTCCCTCTGAATCCTGTCTCTCAGCGGCAAAATCTTCTCTTTGGGGGCTACCATTGCACTGGGTTTTTTTTTTTAATGTATGCCTGCAGGAATGTTTTATGCACAGATACTCATCTATGTTATTCCCTCATCTTGCTTACACACTAATAATCATACTATTTCTTGCTTTTTTAACCTAGAAAAATGTCGTGCAGATTTTCCCCTAACAGCACAACAAAAGCTTTCTTCTTGTTTTGCTGTCGACAGTGCTGTGCTGTGGAGGCGGGCTTGAGTTCCCCGTGCTGTGCCCCAGGCCCGGACCCTTAGGCTACTTCCAGTCTTCTGCCGCCACAAACAGCACCAGACACGGGGCAATCTTGTGTAAATGCCACTTGACACAGGTATGAGCGAACCTAAATGACACGTGGTTAGGAGTAAATCACTGTACCAGGCACTGGTGATTTTGATGGGTATTTTCAAATTGTTCTCCAAATAAGTTATATCAATCTACCTTCCTCTTAGCAGGAGCTAAGGGTGTGAAGGACGCTAAAGCAAGTACATTTTCACTGAAAGAAA